TTTGCTTGTCATTTTATGTTGAAAGCTGACAGAGGAAAGGAAAATCAAAAAAGAAAAAAAAAAAAAATATATATATATATATATATATATATATATATGGATCATATTATATTTATAATTTTTTTTTTTACAAACTCTTACAAATTACACTTTCTTCTTCCGTAAACATATCTTTCCCCTATATAAATATATATATATATAAAATATTTCTATAGTCACTTAAGATAACATTATCTATTATCTATAGCTATCTTTTTTAGTTATAATAATAAAGCTGTTCTTTTTTTTTATCTCTTCACTATAAATATATATATATATAAAATATTTCTGTTCTCTCGGACTACATTATCTTCTCCCGAGAGAATACTTTACACTATGTTCTCCCGGGAGAAGATAGTGTAATTTGTAAAAATTTATAAAAAAAAGTTTGTAAACATATCTTTCCCCTATATAAATATATATATATATAAAATATTTCTATAGTCACTTAAGATAACATTATCTATTATCTATAGCTACTCTTTTTTAACTAAATTTGACCAGTAAGACATAGTTATAATAATAAAGCTGTTCTTTTTTTTTCTCTCTTCAGATTGTCGACTAACGTGGCGGAGAGAGAGAAAATACATTTTTTATGTCTTGTTGGTCAGACTTAGTTAAGTATATATATATATATATATATATATATATATATATATATATATATATATATATATGGTAAAATCATTTCTGCAGCTGCTTTACGTACAGCAACAATGTATGGTTATGATTTCTCACATTTAATGCTTTTATCTTTTGTATGGTTATAATTCCCCGCATTTAATGCTTTCAAGTATATATATGGCAAGTATTTGATTAATGCACATACAGCAGCTGCAGAATTGTAAACCCCTATATATATATAGGAGAGTTATATTTACAAACTTTTTATTTATAAACTACATTATGTACTTCCGGAAGTACATTAGATTTAAGTAAGAAACATATAAATTAAGGGTAATAGTTTTCTTATGCAGTAAGAGATAAGTATTATCTCCTACAGACTCATTTGTACAGGTGAGGTCCACTTTCAGAAGGGGAAAGAGAAAAAGTAAAATGAGATCCATCTTGAATTTGTGTATGTAGAAGATAGATTCTATCTTATATAATATAAGAATAATAAATCTCGTAAATGAAATATCTTATAAATTTAATATCTTAAAATTTTAGATTGAGATATTGTGTCGGATTCACTTATTGTTCCTGAGCCCATTGATGTGTGGAGGCTTTCTTTACTTTATTGTTCCTGAGCCCATTGATGTGTGGAGGCTTTCTTTACTTTGGCTCCCTCTGCCACGTAATAATGATACCAGGGCTCTTTGACCGATGGGGATTTTTTGTGATGTTAATTTATGAATTTAGTATTTGGTTGAAGGTATTTACGAATTGGGGTCATTTAGTGACGCGAGGGGGACCCAGCGTCACTGAGTGCCGCTACCATCCCCTCGCGTCACTCTCACTTTTTTTATTTTTTTTTACTTTTTTCTATTGAGTGCTGCCCCCCCTCCCCTGGGGTACTCACAGAATTGTGCCAAGTGGCACAATCTGGTTACTCCTATTACCGTAAAACTTCAGAAAGCCATAACTTTTGACTCAGGTATCCAAATCAGATGATTTTTTTTTGATTTCACATAACTTTCTGAGATCTACGCAATGACATCTCATTTGACATATTTTATCTCTCACAAACATAATTCAAATTTGTAAAAAAGTGTAATTAGTGTTGCACATTTGAACTATATTAATGGAAGATAAAATATGTCAAATGAGATGTCATTGCGTAGATCTCGAAAAGTTATGTGAAATCAAAAAAAAATCATCTGATTTGGATACCCGAGTCAAAAGTTATGGCCTTCCGAAGTTTTACGGTAATAGGAGTAACCAGATTGTGCCACTTGGCACAATTCTGTGAGTGCCCTAGGGGAGGGGGGGCGGCACTCAATAGAAAAAAGTAAAAATAAAATAAAAAAAGTGAGAGTGACGGGAGGGGATGATAGCGGCACTCAGTGACGCTGGTCCCCTTCGCGTCACTAAATGACCCCCGTTCATAAATACCTTTAACGCAATACCAAATTGATAAATTAAAGAAATTAAAACCCCTAATAGGTGAAAGAGCCATGATACCAGAGCTAACAGTTTGACTATGCCATGTACTTGGGGAATGATGGTTTGTATTTTGACAAAACTTAATCACTAGATGACCCATTGATACTTGGATAGGTTTGAGGGGGAGCATCTCGTACGGGAGATTATTAAAAATTTAAAAGTGAGTAATAAGCAATTAAATCTCGCATCAGATAAAATATGGTATCTATTGTGAGTAATATTGTAAAATCCGGCCCAACCTGGCCAAGTCGATCACGAACTCAGTGAATCGGTCATCGGATCAATTTCGGTCAAGCATTGGATCGGTCATGCATCGACGTGGTTAAACCTAGTCAAAACTAGGACAAAACCAGCCAAACTCGGTCAAAATCGATGACCCGGTCGAGTCATACATTTTTTAAAAAAAAATCCAATTTTTTTTCATCTTTTTAGAAGAAATGTAGAACTCATTTTAAAAAACTTTTGTAATTTTATTTGTTAGTGTACTCTTCTACAATAACCTCAAATTTCATCTTCCAATACTGAAGCAATTTGCGAAATAATAAATTAAGAGAATGTGACATATGCCATTTTAATGTAGTTGAATTTGAAAAATATGAGTTCAATATCATTGAGAGGTATGCTTATGGAAATTCTGAGTTGTAATTTAAATTGACATAATAATAGCGTGCATTTTTATTTATTTATGCTTCATGTTTTTTAACTTATTTAGTTAACCTTGTTTAATTCATTTTAGATATGGAGAATATAATTAAATTTATATGTTGATATTTAAATATATTTTATATACCTATATATATCCGGGTCAACCGGTCTGACTAATAATCTACTGATCCGACCATTGACCTAGTATATCAATGTCCGAGTCGGGTTTAATAACACTGTAAGTCTTCGTTTAGTCCATTAATATACGAATGTATCTCCTAATTTGAACTCCTCGACCACGTAACAATATCAACCTTTGGTACCACTTTATCCTATTAGATTAGTATCTTATAAATCAAGTGAGAGGATGCTCTAAGAAAAAGAAAACAATTATAAACTATAATGTTAAAGCAATATAATATAAATCCATTAAAAGTATATCAGTTACAAGTTTAAGCTGTTGAGTTGAATTGATTGTTTACCATGATATAAGAATCAAGGTGACTATGGGGTCATGACTCATGAGTTGGATCCTCAATGTCCCATACTTTTTAATGGAATTAAATTAGCATAGGCCTCAAAAAATGAGTCTGTACAATATTTACACTTCAAGTCCAAAATGAATCTTGCGTAAGAAAATGTGTTAGAGAGATAAATATAAGAAATCCATTGAAGAGTCATCAGTTACAAGTTTAAGCTTTTGGGTTAAAACGATAGATATCACCATTCTTCTAGCTTTGCCAATATTTCAATTTGGATTTTTTTTCTATAAATGCAAGTATTCCTTTTTCTTGGTGTTCAGGTGTTTGTATGTACATTTGCTGCATCATGAACGAGGACAAAGTTTGTCTTGGAGAAAGTAGAAAATATGGACCGTGAGCCATTGTTGAGGATCCAAGTTGGAGAGTACATACAACCTTTTTTTAGGAGTATATTTAAGGAGCAAGGAGGGAGGGACCATTTGTATGAATAATCAGGGGGTGAAGTACAAGTGTATATATGGGCAAAGGGGAGCTCCTTTCAATCCAATATGAAGGGCTGAGGAGAGGCAAGAGCTGTCATCTCATGCATTCGGCTACCCTTAATGTTTGTCATCTTCAAGATGTTGCATTGCAGCTTCACACTATTTTGAAATGTTAAGTTTGGCCAGGTGCATGGTGTGAGAGCAACTCCACCTTACTGCTTAGCTCAACAATTGGATTGAAGGGAGCTCCAAGTTTCACCCTTTTTTTCTCGTTGTGTTCTTTTGCTTGCTGACCTTGTTTTCTTTCCTCAACAATGACCGTAGTCACAGTCTCTTCTTTCTACTGTTTCAAGCTCTTTTTAACAGGTTTGTTCTTTCTTATTCTTGTTATAAAATCTTACTTTCTTCTTGGTTATATATGTATGCAGATTTTCAAGCATTGTATGATAAGCCAACAGAGTCTACCCAGAACGCAGCATAATGAATTCACTTTATCACAAGATCTTTCAGCTAGAGACATAAGATCTTTCAGCTCATGCACTAGCAACCTAACACTAGTAAAGTCAGAGAGGGTAAAGTGGTTTTTTATGGAAATTGTAAACTTCGACCAACAAATCATCTTGTTTATGTTTTACTCTACTTGATGTCATATGAAGGACATATCACTAATAAAATCTTTGGTTTTGATTATAGACTATCTAAAATATAAAACAAACTAATCCAATCCCACTTAATGGTCCTATTTTATTACGTTAACTGAAAATGAACATATCCTTGTGCTCTGTTGTTGCATTTTTATTATACAACATTGTTCCGCTACTTCCAACGGCCATTGTATTATTAACTGCCATTTTGTTATTATTCTTCATATAATGTTCAATAGGCTCAAATACTGTTATTTGGAAGACCAAGGGAAGCCATTCTCTTATCATAGTTTGATTCCTTAACATGGTTACCACCTAGTTTTAATTTGCTTTATACCGATCCTCGGCTTTAATTCCAAGTCCATTTTTGATAATATCGCTTAAAATGGCCCTAACAATATGCCTCCCGGCAGTTTCCTCTTCGTTCACATACAACAATGACACTATCAACATCATTGCTGCAAATGCATTTTATATTCTCCCTTTCAAAGAGTTCCTGGTTTGGGTGAAGAAAATTCTTGTCACCCTAACAAATCCAGTACAACAATTAAATTTCATAATTCTATGGCATTGAAGTTTCACACATTCTTTCTGTTGAATATTAGGAATGGACTGGAAGATACATACCATTGTATATTATTAATCAAGCACACATAAAAGGGAAAGAGAGAATCTTATTTCATAATCTGCTGTGCTTCTCCTCACAGCCTTTCCATATTTGTTTACATTTAAATGCTAACAAGCATTAGAAGCCTAATAAGCCAAGCAAAAATAGCCGAGGCCAGGCCAAAATAAGGTTGTAGTTCACATGAAGTTTGAGTAAGAAATAAGAACAAGAACACAATAACTGCAACACAGGCACGCCACCACCTAGTATCTGATTTCAGCAATATGACCAGTTGGTTAATCAATCTTCCCCTGCAAGAGGACCAAAACTTATTTTTATTCAACGACACAAAATCATATTAACAATAAAAGAATCTTCTCTAAATGATATTAGAAATTAAGATTCTGATTTGATCAAATATGTATCTGCAAAGACAAGTTTCTAGTCTCTCAGCCACATTGGAAAAAACAGCAAAATAAACAAGTTAACTTGGGGTTATTCTAGATTTTGACCAAGAATTCAAAGAAAAATGTTCAATTAATGGAATTAACCAAAAAAATATTCCTCTGACCAAACATATCAAATAACCCCAATGACTAGTTCTTATCAATTTAACACCATTGCAATGGGCCATCAATCATCACTAAGTGGAACAAAGATGGAATGGAGGGGTAACAGTCACCTGCATCAATGTTAAATTCAGAATTGAGAGGATCTATACTGAGAGGTTTATGGTGACAACAATCAAATCCAGACCGTCAAGAAAGTTGCTATTTTAGCTCTTTATATCTTGTTGGTATAGTTAAAATGGTTAATACTGCAGATTTACTTCCTCCAACAAAGTTTGAGATACTCAATAAGAAGTTGCTATTAAGAATGCCAAACTTTGAACAATGAACTCAAATTCTCGAGAAGTTGGAAGCATGAAAAGTCAGCACTCGGCAGTAACATACAGGGATTTCGAGTCAGCATAGACTTTTTCATTTGCAAGTCCAACTTGTTTTTTTCAGTAGGATTTATTCAAGAATTATTCATATAAAAAGAGATAAAAGGATAGAAATGAAGTTGGGTATTACCTTTTATTATCCACACGACAGTCATTCAGACTCAACTGCCTCAACCTTTGGAGCTGGTTCAGAAAATTGAACAAGGCATAAGAAATTATCACAAAAGCAGCACAGGACAGAGAAGAAGACAATTAATTATGATTTAAAAGAATAATAAGGAAAACATCAAATGGATTCCAGATCTTTCCCTCGTAACAAAATTCAAAATAAGGCGGCTACAATGACAAAATATTTATGGTGAGAGTTTAATTTGCTTCAATTACATCTTGGTAGTTGAAAATTACAAAAGAAAAATACATGTCAAGTTTCTTTCAAGCAATACTCAACGGAATGCTCCATTCACTAACTATTTCATCATTCATCTTATAATCCAATCACTACATAAATAAAAAGAATGATCTAGCTGAGTGGAGTCAGCTTTGCCATTCCAAAACTCATCTTTTTTCACTCAAAATAAAAACTTTACACACTGCACACCACAATAGACCCAATTTAATCCAGCGATCCAAGACTAAAAGCACGAATCTAAAAAAGCTAGAATTTAGCTTGCATGTCAATTGCTCTTTTCTTTCACGAATTTCAACACCCTAAAGACACCCTTTGATCATTGATTAACAAAAAATCCAACTCGGGAGAAATCACACATGCCCCACTTGACAATTCGCAAAACCCTAATGTACTAAACACGAAAAACGAAACCTTTACAAACAGCATAGCAAAATGATCGAACTTAACCCTGCAACAAAAAATCTACTGAACACGAACAGTGGAATACCCAAACACACCAACCTTTAATCATTAAGCAACGAAAAATTGCAGCTTGAGAAAAATTACGTACACCCCCACTTACAATTCGCTTTATAACACCAAACGAACTATCCAAAAACTAGAAATAACACTCCATTCACTTAATAAAAACAAAAGCGCTTAAAATCAGCAAACCCAAAATAAAACCTTTGATCACCGAGCAGCAAAATAATCGCAACTTCGAGAGAAACTAGTCCAATTACACACACCCTACTTGAGAATTCAAAAAACACTTGTGCCTGGAACATGGAAAAATGGAATATCCAAAGAAGCACTTTGATCATTAAGCAACGAAAAACCGCAGCCTGAGAGAAATTACATAAACCCCACTTCACAATTCTCTTAATAATACCAGACGACTTAATCATCAACCAGAAATTACATCTCATTCACTTAAAAACAGCAAATTCAAAATAAAACCTACTGATCATCGAGTAACAAAAAAAAAAATCGCAACTTTGAGAGAAACTAGTAAAATTACACACACCCCAATTGAGAATTCACAAAATTCTTTTGCATTGAACATGGAAAAATGGAATACCCAAAGAAGCACTTTGATCATTAAGCGACGAAAAAACGCAGCTTGAGAGAAATTACACACACCCCACTTGACAATTATCTTAATAATACCAGACGACTTAATCATCAACCAGAAATTATATCTCCTTCACTTAAAAACAGCAAATCCAAAGTATAAAAAAAAAAAAAAAAAATCGCAACTTTGAGAGAAACTAGTAAAATTACACACACCCCAGATGAGAATTCGCAATACCCTTTGTGCATTGAACATTGCAAGAAAAAAAAATAAAGGAAGAAGAAGAAGAAAGTTCACCGTGGAGAGAGGGATGACGAGCATCCTTGCCCCAACCAATGCCACGAGTGGATTCGAGGTACTGGTTGACGAGGTGGCGACACTTCTGAAGGTGGTTGACACCCTCTATGCGGTAGCACCATCGAAGCTTGTCCCTGATAATCTTAGCCTTCTCTATTTGGATCCACTTCTCCCTCACGATGTGCTCCCTCATCTCCAAAAACGCCACCGGGTCCTTGTACGGATTCGCCGGATCGAAATCGTCCGGCGGCGATTCATCGAACTCAACATACCCCTTCTTCCTTCCCATTCCCAACCCACTCTCTTCTCAATTCTGATACACAACACACGCAGTGCTAGCTCTCGCTAGTGCTTGTGCTTGTGTTTGTCTTTGTGAAGTTCTTTCTGTTGGGCCATGATTTTTTTCTTGTTGGGCCTGTTTGGTCTTGTGCTACTTAAAGGCCCATTATCCAATTGTGCTACTACCCCTTTGGTAATCACTCCAATAGAGCAAACTTGTGTGTTATAAAAACCACAATGTGTTTGGTAGTTATTAGAAAAGTTAATGTTTTAAACTTTTTATCGTCATCATGGTTTTGTCCGGCTCTCGAAATGGATTAGTTAATTAATCGATCATTTGGTAAAAAAAATATTAAAAAATATTTATTTTTTGAATTTGGTGTTTGTCATTTTAAATGACATAAGTTATGTGCCTGTTTGGATCCTCTTATTTTTAAGCTAGAAGCTACTTATAAGCATAAGCTAGGCCAAACAGGTTTTGAGAAAAGCTCTTATAACGAAAAGCTCTTTTTTTTATAATGAAGAAAAAAACTGAAAACTAAAAGCTTCTAGAAGGAGCTTTTTTTTGAGCTCTTATCTATTTTTCTTGAATTGTGTGCTTTTTTTTAAAATGAAGAGTGATAAAGAGAAAGAGAGAGATAATTTTCTTGAAATATGTGCTTTTAATTAATTTTTAAGCTAAAACTTTTATGTAATTTCCAAACAGCTTTTAGCTTATTTTTTTAAGCTCTTTTTTTTAGCTTTAGCTTATAAGTAGCTTCTAGCTTAAAAATAAGAGAATCCAAACAGGCTCTATATCATTTTAAAAGAGAGAAAGACACAAAAAATAAAAATCATGGGAGAGAAAGTTGTTGAATTTTTTTAATTTAAATTTTAAATAAAAAATTATTTTCTTGTGTCTATCTCCTATGATGCACGGACACGGGACACGGGACACAGGACACGACACGACACGCCGATACGTTAATTCTAAAAAATGTCATATTTGGACACGTTGGGACACGTTTAGATATTAAATAAAAAATTTAATATATATAATATGATTTATATTTAATACATATAAGAATCCATAATAAGTCATAAAACCAATCAAATATTTAAATTTCATAACATAAATATAAATATAAATAATTTTTCGTACTTTGTTAATTTTTAATGTCAAATTTCATAACAGAAAAAAATTAATTTATAAATTATTTCTTTTATATTTAGTTAAAAAAATAAAATTAAGATTTAAAAAAAAAAAAAAAATGTGTCCGAGCGTGTCCCCAAATGTTGACTGCGTGTCCTTAAATATTGACCACGTGTCGGAACGTGTCGGAGAGTTGACCGCGTGTGTCCGACACGCAAATTTTACAAAATTTTGCGTGTCCGTGCAACAGAGTCTATCTCTCTCTTAAAATGACATAATTTTATGTCAATTAAGATGAGAAACACTTCCCTTATTTTTTTTCTATATTATTTCCTATGGAATACCTCTCATTTCGTATTTGTTACGAAAATTTAGTTTGAACTGGTTATTACACATGTTGATTGTTTATTTATTCTATTAATTCTTCTAAAAGGTATTTAAGATAACTAATGACTTTCTTAAACTTAATTTCAAGATTAAAATTATTGTATATTGAATAATAAGTAAATTAAAAATCGATAATTAATTTGATACAAAGAAATTAATGTATGTTTATTTTAATATTATTTGGAAAAAATAATGATTAATCATAAAAATTTTGAAATTTTTTTTTACCATGTTTGTTGATCCCAATAAAAGAGGTTCAGATTCATATTTTTGTACCTTGAGAAATACTATAGGAAACCTAAATTGAAAAAAATAAATAAATTAATATCCTAACTTTAGTAAGATAAACACTGCATTTTTTTGTTTGTAAATACAAACGTTGTAATTTAGATTGTGATTTACATGTTATTTTGCTTTCACGTAAAGTTTCTATGTCCATGTGATTTAAATCATTATATACTTTCATATAAATTTTTCATTTTCATGTGATATAAATATTTATCCTGTGATTTGGATATTATGTTCTCATGTAAATTTTTTATTCCGGTGCAATATATATTTAATCATTTGATTTAACTACTAGTATTCCTTCATTAAATAAACAAGTAATAAAATTAAGAATTTTGAAATATAAAATGACACGTCTAATATAAATGGAAGTTTGTTATTAAATGCACAAATTGAATTTTTATCGACATTTTGGATAGATATTTTAACATAATTGGCATCGTCATTCCATTCTAAAAAACAATTTATATGGTATTAAAAAAAATTTCCAATGTTGTTGTGGGAGAGTTCCTTCTTCTATTATAGATATAAAATATAGTGAATCTCACCATCCATTAAAAATAAAATAAAAAAAATTATTACAAACAATTCGATATCTCACTAATAAAAAAAAAAATCTACAATATGAGAATTATTTTTTCGTATAAAAAAATGCTTCCTAGATTGGTGTGAAAAAAAAAATTCACAACCTAGGTAAACCAACATATTAAGTATTAACTACAGCCAAAACCAACTGAACTGAACAAGCCGGAGAGATCAAACCCTACACGTGTCATCATAAAAACTATTGATAATCTACATTTTAATTCATTGGACCCAATCCCAAAGTCAACTCCAGCTCAAGTTCTTCAATATCAGCTCGAGCCGGCTCCACACTCTCAACTAAATTGCTATCAGCTTCGTTTATGTGCTCACTCTCCCCAAACCTCCTCGAGTCACGACTCACCGAACCTTCTAACTTGCTTCCAGAACGAGTCACCATCAGCTCGGACACAACTGGCTCCACTTTCTGCTTCGGCTTCCGAGCTCGATCAGAGCAGCACGATTTCCCAATCTTTGACACGTGGCGAATATCAAAAGACGATTCAGAAGGAGCCTGCTGTATCGGCGCGCCGATCAGAACATCTTCAACCGCGGCTTCGCAGAGGTGCCATCTCCCGGTCGAGAGCAATCCGGTCGAGCCGAAAATCGGGTTCACAATCCGGCCGCAAGCTTCATAGAGCAAAGATTTGAAAATAGCTGAAAGGAACCAAAAAAAAAAAAAAAGAAAGAAAATTAGGGACAAGAATTCATCATTTTCTCGGGAAACAAACAGAGACTAGAAAATTGTAGTGGAGTAGTTAGTTACAGGGTCGAGGTTGCGGCGGAGCGGCGGTGAGGAGGTTGAGGAGGCCGGCGCGGCCGTAGAACTTGGCGAGGAAGAGGGTGGCATTGGCCTGTGAGTCAGGGGATTTGATCCAATCGAGGCAAGGGCGAATGGGGCAATCGTTGGTGCAACCTCTGCGGAGGACACGACAGCCATTGCAGCTCAAGCGCATGGTGATGTGTTTGGCAAGCGAGAAAATTCGATGGGAAAATGAAGGAAAGTGTGAGGCGGTTAAGACGAGTATTTGTAGTGAGAGGAGTTTGAGCGTGTGTTTTTGTAATAGGGCGCGCAGTTGTTTTTGGTTCCAAGAAAATGGCAGTTTTTGGATCGTGGTTTTGTTTCGTTGAATTGACGACATTTGAGGGACCCACCTTGAATCAATTACAAAAGTCTCTCTACTAACTTTCCCCTGTTTTGTGGGAGTTCTATAGGGTGGCTTTCGAACGAAAAATGTTAATGCTTTGATTTGATTTTCATGTATCATGCATTGTAACAATGGTTGATGTTATTTGTTATTGGTATGCGATGTTATACGAGTATCATATACATGCGGAGAGAGGATTTTTTTATATTAATTTTGGTCCATATGACTATTGTTGTTTATACATAAAGAGGGACGCTTTATTAATTTTAATATAAGATTAAGAAGTCTTATATCACAATTCACATAATTTCTGTCAATTTAATTATTATCAATGTTATTAAACCCGATCCGTTTATTGACTCGGTCGAGGTACTGGATCACTGGTTCAACCAGTGGGTCACTGGTTCAATCACATGACCCGGTAAGTATATATAAATCTACAATTCATATTAAAAACGCTATAAATATACTTAAATACTTGTAAAAAATATACAAATTTCAAATATTTTAATATGAAAATAATAAATTACACATCATTGTCCAACAAAAGATCAATCAAACAAATAATATTTGCGATACTAGTGTTTCAGGTTCAATAAACGACATCTCTAACTATAAATCAAATTAAAATTCCCTGCATATTGTATAATCAAGATAATATTAGTGTTGTAGGTACATAATCTATGTAAGTTAATAAGCTACAAATCACTCAAATATTTCAAAAGAAAGCAAATAATTTGTGTTTGAGAGTAAAAAAAAAAAAAGACATTAATTTATGAAAATAAATTAGTTTTTTATAGACCGGGCCGGGTCACCGATTTTTACGATCGGGTCGCACTGGGTCACACCGCTTCTGTGACATGGCCGGTCCAATATGAAAACTGGATCGGTAACATGACTGGTTCACCGATTTCCGGGTCGACCCGGCCGGGTCGGTCTGGTTTTTATAACATTGATTATTATAGTTTATTAAGTTATATTTATTTATTAATTATTAATATTAAATATATTATAATTATTAGATGAACAAAAATCAACAACAGAAATATAATGTAAAATTTCTAAATCTTATATTGAAATTAATTATATATATATATATATCAGAAAAATATTTCTGCAAATAAGTTATTTATATTTACTTCTAAAACGACGTCGTTTTGGAATTGAAAGATTAGAAAATTATAATTATAAAGACTATAATAACTCTGAAATAAATTATAATTACAAAAACACCATGGTTTCTACTCAAAACAATGTTGAATTGGATTTACTACAGATAACTTATCTGCAGTAACTACAGAAAAAACGAACCCTATATATATTCAGTTACAAATATAAGATATGTAAGACCGCTAGTTATAGACTATACTAACCCTTATTTGAACCTTTAATGCAGTGCAGAGAGTGTTGTAGTACTAATTTTTATCTTTATTTTGATATATCATATATCTTGAGAATATTATAATTTATGATGTTTATGTATGTGTCAAATTCAAACAAGGATGGATATTCTCGTTACCAAAATTTTTCACTATCAACTTACTACCTATCTAATCACTATTAGATTAATATTTTCTCTCTCTTCAAAAACTTTCTAACATTTTCTCTCTCTTCAAAAACTTTCTAACATTTTCTCTCTCTTTAATCCAATAATAATGTGATGAGTAATAAGTTTAATAATAAAAAAATTTAGTAGTTAAAATATACTTAGTGGTTAAAATATGCGCTATATGGATGTTGTGTTTGTAAGTACGACCGTGATTCATGTTTTTGATTGAAAAAAGGGTGAGGGAAGTACTGTGGGCGCTCATGGTGAAGGGAAGCCAATGGTTTTGAATGGGAATGGCCCCCACTCCACTGCTTATAGCTTATCCCTTACGTCCTGTAACCGCGGAGACTAGATTTTTTTATGATTGTCCCAACCTAGTTGTTTCCGTGTCTGCCTACTCAACCTTCTTTTTGTTCACACTCGTGTCAGTATATATACCCAAAATACTTTCTTTTTTTATTTACCCTTCTACTCTTCAATTGAATTTCATGTCTGCCTACTCAATTTTTTTAAACTAATTCAATTCAGAAAATTAATTTATTAAATGATGTTACATTAATGTATTTATATTTTTCTAATATGTCTCTTTGTATCACCTCATTCTGGCGCAGTTACAATCAGGTGATTTAAATTAAAATACGGTAAAAAAAATTCTTTTTTAAACAACGTTTTATTTAAAAACTACTGTATCTAAAACAATTTCCATACTATGATTATAATCAAAAACAATTGCGGAACATAAATTTTTATTGCTTAAATATCATACCATACATATTCATAGATGCTAAATTATTCTCGTAAACCAACGAAACTCAAAACACAAATTATACATTTCTCCTAACCAAGGTAGGTTTGGTCTTTTCCAAAATTGCACTTAATTACAAGCCCATAAATTATCATATTTTAGTATGGTAAACAAGATTCTCTAAACTTTCTAACAAGGTATCATAAGCCTCATTTGGAGTTTTATAACTTAAGATATGCTTGCCGTAATTTAACTGTACAAAACTGTCAACAGACAACGAACAACTACTTCGAGTTCCCTCACTATTTTTAAAACTGCAGGAGTTTTACTCATTTGTTTACTCTCAAATTTTAATGTTATATTAGACACCTATACCTTCAATTTGGTATATCATAAGCCTTGTTTCGATAAGAAACAAAGCAGGTATTAATATTCAAAGTTGACAGACGATGGTTGTCTTAAAACACTGCTAAACTAGACAGTCTCTACTTAAACGAAAATTGCACATGATTTATAACTCATTATTGTCCCATGATTTAGGACATTACAGAAAATATCCTAAGCTTCAAAATGGTAGCTAAACCGTCTCATTTGATTAAGAATTGAGTGAGATATGACTCTCCAAAATCATAGAGAATTTCACTACATTTTCTGTAAATTTTGACAATATCTCCGTTGTTTATTGGATATTTCTAGGGATCAATTCTCACTTAATATTTAACACCTGATAGACACAATATTCATTTCATTCAAACTATCACAAGATGGCTCTGTACCATTTCCATTAACCTAAAACATAAATATGTACATACATAACACATATCTTTGTCGTTTACAAACAAATATTCACATAGGCAACATAGGTCTTTCAAATGAATATTTACACCAGATACATTAATCTACATGATCATATATTAGTCATGCCACGCCAAAATATATAGGCAGATATTTTACAAAAAATGAAATTGTTCCTCTAATTGGTCTATGCATATCTCTAATCCCTTCGTACTGGCCTCTTACCAAGGGATTTATCTCCAACTTTAGATGTACCTGAAAGATGTCCTTATAAAGCGGGGTGATAGAATTATTCCACGCCAAAATATGTCCTCCAACTAGGGGTGTGCAAAAAAGCTGGTTCACTTGCCCTGCCCTTGATCCGACCTTGACCCGACCCATAAATACCCATATTTTTTGAACTGGTTTAAATACTGACCCACTTTTATTTGGGTCAGTTTTAGACCTGACTCGTTTTAATATTGACCCACTGACCCAAAACTTGACCCATACCCATTATGTGAAAAAAAAAATCACAATTACATTAAAAGAAAAATTTTAAGGTAAAACAATTACGTCAAAAAATTTTATGGAAAATATTTTCATAAAAATTTTTGACGAAAAATATTTTCATCAAAATTTGTGACTAAAAACATATCGGTAAAAAAATTTGACGGAATATTTTTTTTGTCAAATTTTTTTACGGAATCTAAATTTCGTCAAAATATTTCACAAATAAATATATTCATAAAAACTTTCGACGAAACACATTTTCATTGAAACTCTTTGACGGAAAAAAATTCATCAAAATTCTTTACAGATTTAAAATTTCAGCGAAAGTTTTCGACGGAAACATTTTCGTTAAACTTTTTGACAAAAAAAATTTTCATCGAAATTTTTTGCGAAAAACATTTCTATCAAAAAATTTCGACTAAATATTTTCGTCAAGTTTTTTGATAAAGAATATATCCATCAAAATTTTCAACGAAACACATTTCTGTAAAAAACATTCGTAAAATTTTTTGACAAAAATATTTCGATAAGAAATTTTGACAGAAAAAATATTTTGTCTAAATTCTTTAGAGAATCTAAATTTCGTCGAAAGTTTCAAATGAAACATTTTCCATTGAAAATTTTGACGAAACACATTTCCATCAAAAAATTTCGACGGCAAAAAATTTCATTAAAATTCTTTACAGATTTCAAATTTCGGCGAGAGTTTTCGACAAAAATATTTTCGTCATCAAAAAATTTTGACAGCAAAAAATTTCGACGGCAAAAAATTTCATCAAAATTCTTTACAATTTCAAATTTTGACGAAAGTTTTCGACGGAAATATTTTCGTCATCAAAAAATTTTGACGGCAAAAAATATCGACGACAAAAAATTTCATCAAATTCTTTACAGATTTCAAATTTCGGAGAAAGTTTTCGACGGAAATATTTTCGTTATCAAAAATTTTTTGACGACACAAAATTTCATAAAAATTCTTTACAGATTTCAAATTTTGGCGAAAGTTTTCGACGGAAACATTTTCGTCATTAAAAAATTTTGACGGCAAAAAAATTCATCCAAATTCTTTACAGATTTCAAATTTCGGCGAAAGTTTTCGACGAAAAAATGTTCGTTTAATTTTTTGAAAAAAAAAAAATTTCGTCGAAATTTTTAGCAAAACACATTTCCATCAAAAAATTTCAACTAAATATTTTCGTCAAGTTTTTTGATAAAAAATTTCCATCA